ATCATTATATATCACATACCTTTACTGAAATGTCACTATACCCCAAAAATATATACAATGAATATGTGTCAATTAAAAATAAAAATATTCTTAAAAATAAATTTTTAAATTTTTAAAAGGAAAGTTAAGGACAGGGTGAGGATGAAGTAAATCCTGGAATAGCGGAGAAGAGGGTGAGAAGAGTTTAAGAGGATAGAAAGGGGCCCTCACCTCTTCCTCACCACACTGTCCTTGAGCCGGTTTCCCGGGGCTGGCTGAGGGGCTCTCATCCCTGTCTGAGGTAGCCTTCACCTGGATGAAAGGTGTGCAAGTTCAGAGTTGGGATCATCTTGCGTCTCCTGCCTTCTCAGCCCCCAGCTTCCTGGCCCTTGCTGCTCTGTGCAACTGCCTGCAGAACTCACCTTGGACTCCCCACCATCCTGCTCCAACCGCTCCTGTCGTTTCCGTTCCTTTTGACGCTGTAATGATGATGATGATGATGTACCTTTACCGTACATCACACACTAGACTAAGCTTTGCATATACTATCTCATTTAATCCTTGCAACTCTATGAGGTATTATTATTATCCTCATTTTATAGGTTAAAAGAAGACAAAAGAGTCACTAGCCAGAGACGTCACTGTAAGGAGGAGGTAGATTCCACTAGGGCAGTACTGTGCCATTCGAATTGCTTTGCCAGATGGCCTCCAGGAGACCTTCCAGTCCCTGGGCCCCTTAGGTCCACCTGATGAAGGAATCCACTGCAGGACACCTTAAGCTCCTTCCTATTCTCACAAAGTTTGCTTCTTTCCCTTCCCTAATTCCCTCCGGGTTCCCTTTTTCCACCCTGCAGACACCTTCTTCTTGCGTCGTTTCTTCTCTGCTTTTTGTTTCATGCGCTCCTCCTCAGCCACCAGCTCCTCGGCCAGGCGGTTGGCTTCCTGAAGGAGGAAGGGCAAGTGACAAAAAAAGAGAAAGAAACAGGGAAAATGAGAGAGAATGCGAAAGGGAGGCAAGCTGTGTGGAAAGGCCTTAAAAGGTACAAATTAGGGGAGCATCCAGGGGTGGAAATACATGTATTGAAAGGACCATAAAGCCCCTTCTTGACAATCTCACCTCTTCCGTCACCTGGAGTTTCTGGGGCAGGGCCACCTGAAGCAGGCTATCTGAGTCACTGGGGAAGGATGCAGAGGCAGAGGGACTTTGAGAACAGGGTTCAGCCCCTTGCGGAGGGTATAGGAAGGACTTTTGGAAACCACAGTAGGTGCCCAGTCCCTCAGCCCCCTTGCCCCTGACACTCTGTCCAGTCGTGTTTCCTTCATCACAGAAATGGTCCAAGGGGTAATCTGTTAGCAAGGAAAAAGAGACAGGAAAGAAAGAGGAACATGAGAGAGGGGCACACCCGAGGGCCAGCCCACCCCAGGGTTCCAGCCTTGATCCCAGGTCTGGGCCTGCACTCCCCACCATGATGCCATTGCTGCAACTGCCTGCTGCTCCCATCCACATGGATCCGGTGCAGGCCCTGGGGATCACTCTCCACAAGCTGGCGAAGAAAATCCACTACGTCCTGGGAGGGGGAGGGGAGGGGAGGCTGGTGTTGGGGGAAGTTCTGGGAGAGAGCAAAGGGTTGGCTGGCTTGAACTCTACTGTGGCAGCCACAAACCAACCACCCAACATAAAGAATCCTTTTGGCTCTGACCTCTCTCCCATTCACACCTGGAAAATGTGCTGCTCCTGGCTCTCATGATGCATCACCTCGCCTTGCTATTCTCCTGCATTCCCTGGGGCTGAGCGTGGCCTTCAGCCCAACCTTCTTCACCATCCAGTGTCTTCTTCCTCTGACCTGCCACTATGCCAGCTACACTAATGTCCCTGGAATTGAGCCTGTTTACCTGTCTTCCCTCTGTGTCCCATCATACCCTTGAATGTGAATAGCTATCAGGACACCCAACCCAAAACTACCTCATGCCAAAACATATATGCATGGCAGCTCCCAGCTGGCCTCTCCTGCTTCTCATCTGCTTCTCTCCAAAACAAAGCTCTCAGAGATATCTCTCCTGCTCCAAAACTTCCAGTATCCCACATTGTCAGGACCGTAGGAAGGACTGAATCTAGGGCCTTGGTCTAGGATTTGGAGCCTTCCAAAGCTTGCTGGCTGAGCTTTCCAACCTTCCCTTGCAATCTTCCCTGCTTAGCTGCCATCCTCCCTTGGCCACCAGGCTCCCTCTATCCTTAGGGCCTCCAGTCCTTGCTGGCTCTGATCTTCTTGTCACATCTTGTCTCATCTTGAAGGGGCAGTTCAAATTCCATCTCCCCTCAAAGCCTTTTCAGATCCTTTCATCTTCAATTTTTCTGCCCTCTCTCAACCAAATTGTACCCACATAGTCTTTTATACAATTTAGAACCTTATTTTTCATTGATTTATATTGCAAGTTGGTGTGGCAGCACATAACTGGAAAAACAGCTATGCTAGAGCGGAGCTACTTGCATTGCATTATTGATTCTGTCACTGCCTGGATATTTCATTTTGTAGAATTCATTTGAGTTTATTGTACTCTTTTTCATTGACGAAATGAGGAAACACTCTTTGAGGCTTGACCCACACACTTTTTTTTTTTTAAATTGATGCTGAGGATTAAACCCAGGATCTCACTTGTTCTACCACTGAGTTCAGTGCTCCCATCCATGATTATGATAACAGTTTGATACCCCCAGTCCCCACCCCCTATGATTCTGATAATAGTCACTCCCTTAGTGATTGTAAGCTTCAGAGGATAGGAATTATCATATTACTAAGTAGCCTATGGCCACACATGATCTGGCCCCCTAGTATCTTTATAAATTTCCTACTTTTTGGACACCCTCCTCCAGTCACAGTAATATCCTTTGAAGTTCCTACAACACACCAACTGATATCCCATCTCAGTGCTTTTGGATTTGTTATTTCCTCAGTCTGGAATGGTCTTTCCCCAGTGAATGGCTCACTCCTTTGTTCCCTTTCCATCTCTGCTTAAATGTCACCTTCTTAGGAAGGCTTCTGATGGCTCCTTGTAAAAACAGACATCTCTTTTCTCCACTCAGTGCTCCCCATCCTTCTTCTTGCTGTTTTGCCCCACTTCTTATATGTGACATACTATGCTATTTATTTATTGACTGGCTACCTCTACTAGACACTTCTTTTTAAAAACTTTTTTAGTTGTTGAGGGACCTTTATTTATTTATATGCAGTGCTGAGAACTGAACCCAGTACCTCACACATGCTAGGCAAGCGCTCTACTAGATACGTCTAACTCAATCAATGAATAGAAAATTTTTTTGTCTGCTTGGTTTACTGCTGTCTTCCCATCACCTACCACACTGTTTGGTGCATAACTGGTGGTCAGTGAGTGTGTGCTGAGTAAGCAAAGAGATCACTGAGTAGGCTATTCCAATGGAGAAAATCCAGTGACTATGTCAGAAAAGCCTTGTGTGACCCAGTGGTGAATCTGGGCTTTATCTTGTCAGTAATGGGAATGGACCTGATCTGGGCAGTGAACTGTTCACAGAGCTGAAGAAGAAGATGGATCTAAGGGTGTAATGTTTATTTAGCAGGCCATTACAACTGCCCAGGCCAGACAGAATGAGCCCTTGAAACTAAAAATTGAAAAAAATTTCAATTTTCCTGCAGTGGGAGCAGGAATGTAAATGAGGCGAGGGTTTGTTTCAAAAGACATTTCAGAAGTAGATTTTAGTGACTGCCTAAATGTGAGGTAAAGGAAAGTGGGAGTACAAAACTATTCTCAGATTTCTGGATTAAGCAACGGAGTCAGAAGCTCCTGTTATGAACCAAAATTGGGGTTAGAGAAAAGCAAACAGCAGGGGCAAGGTGGCATAGTAATCCCAGTGACTGCAGAGGCTGAGGCAGGAGGATTGCCAGTTCAAGGTCAGCCTCAGCAATTTACAGAGACCCTCAACAACTTAGCAAGACCCTGTCTGAAAATAAAATAAATAAATAAAAAGGTCTGGGGATGTAGTTCCAACACCGTTGAGTTCAATTCCCAGTAGCTACAACCCCCCCCCCCGCAAAGAAAAAAAAAAAAGAAAAGAAAAAAACTGATCCTATCCTTCTCTTAGTAACCTACTTAAGGACATCCAAACCTTTGGCCTTTCCACTCACTCTTTGCTGTATCTCCAACCGTCCACTACGATCTGACCTTAGTGACGTTCTCTCAGCTTTTCCTTGCTTTAGTGTCTTTGCTCGCACTGTCCTGTCTGTCTACAGTATCTTTCTCAGGCACTCATATCCAAGCCTCAACTCAGGAACCCTGGTCTTCTCAGTTCTGCCAACTTCGATCATTCATTACAGTAGGATTATCCGCCCCATTCCTGCCCAAGATCCTCAAGAGCAGCGTTGGAAGCTACTCCTCCCCAAAGCTCCCAGAGCCGGGTGCAGCGCCAGCACAGAGTGGGTGTAAGCACAGCTGATTGAAAGTAGGCGTAAACTAGAGGACCTACGCGCGTTCGCGTGCGCGCGCGCTCAGGCATAGGGGCAGGTGGCAGTATTTTTTACCTCTTTTCCGCTGTCCTCTGGTACGAATTCCTTGTAGAGTTTGGGGACTGCAGCGACCCCCAGCGGGCATCCAGGACGCACAGGGCAGTCTACAGGAAAGGAAGGCAGTGCCGCTTCAAGGGAGCTCGGGATTGTTGGACCAGCGTCCTCCACCCTCCTCCTGAAGCATAAAATCCTACCAAAGCCGTCCAGACCACAATAGATTCAAGTGGGGCTGCCTCTGCGCTCCTGGGCCCCCTGTGGTCGTGTCACACCCCACTCACCTAGCTTGATCCGCCCCACAGTCTTTGGAATCGGCGCCATCTCCCGTCAACAGTGACACGAAAGTGAAACACAGTCTAGAATTTGATACCGGGCAAAGGGCGGGGTAAGATAGAATAGGCGCCATCTTTATTAGGGGCAGAGGCCGTCGATTACGGAGCGCGAGAGAGTACAGTCTCCGCGGGTCCGGGATGAGAGTTGGTTCATGGTAGGAGGCGGAGTCCGAACACCGCGGACGTTGGGCGGAGCTCGGAAGTGAGAAACGTTAGATTCGTTTCCGACTCGCAGCCCATGGCTCAGGCTTCTCGCTCGGATGGCCTTCTGCCTCCGCTAGCTACTTTGCCCCAGCTGTGGGCGCAACCCGCGGACTCTGGGGAGAAGCTATGGGAGGGGAATCGGGCTGGCGCCAGCCGCGGGGAGGATCATGGCAGGCAAGGGCTACCCGTTCCCGGGAGCATTCCCTGTCTGGATGCACGGCCCGGCGGAACTCCGGGAGGGCAGCAGTCCTGGCTGGCCTCGGCCGACTCGGATGAGGAGCACGAGGCTGGCGCTGCGGACTGGAGGCGGGAGCCTGCAGCTGGCGGCCCGATACCGCTGGCGCTGCAGCGTCTCCGGGCTGTGTTGTTGCGGTTGCACCGCGAGCGAGAGCAACTCCTCCTGGCCCGGGATTGCGCCCGCCACCTACAGGCGGCCGTGCACCTCTTAAAGACCCTGAGTCCCCGCACGCACGACAGCGGAATCCGCCCCTTCCCGGAGCTGTGTCGTAACTTTCATCTACACCCACCTCGAGAGGCGGTTCAGAGAATCGGCCTACGGGACATTCCTGAGCCGCTACTCCTAGCACGCCCCATCGGACTAGCGGCCCGCTGCCTGGATGCTGCCATTGAGATGCAGCTTCGTTCCCTGGGTCGGGCGCCCGCCAGCCTAAGCCTGACGTCCCAACTCGCTGAACTGTTGTTGGAGCTTCCTGTCTATCACAAACTGCAGAGAAAATCCATGGGCCACCTCCCAAGGGCAGCGTGCCCTTTCTCCCCTACCCGTGTGCTCCATCTCCTGACCTGGGAGCGGGGTTGCCAGGTGGCAGGTCGGCTGGATGAGGCATTCTGGGGATTGGACTTCCGGGACCAGCTCCGAGAGCGATGCCATGAGGAGCGTGAGCTGTTGCCAGGGCTGCTGGGCCTCATAGGGAGTTCAGCCAACAGTGAACTGGGGCTTGGAGGGGCTGGAGCCCTGTGGAGCCAATATTGGACCCTGCTGTGGGCAGCCTGTGCTCAGAGTTTGGACCTAAATCTGGGACCCTGGAGGGACCCCAGGATAGCAGCACAACAGCTGAGTCAGGCACTGGGTCAGGGTGAGTGATGGGCCTGGACCATGTTTTGGGAGAGCTGGGGTATCTTCTCCCTACTCTGCTCATTCATCTACTGGTCTGACAACAGAAGCAGGCAGTTTAGAATGAAACCCCCAGGGTTCTAACTATGGCTTCAGGGCTTTCAAGGCAAAGTCTTGCTTTTCACTCCTCTTGAGTCTTGGAGAATCCATCATTGAGTGGGTAGGGTTGTGGGATGGGTGGCCTTGTTTTCAGGCTCTAGAGTAATTTCTCCCACTAGCATCCCTGCCTCAGGAGTGTGAGAAGGAACTGGCTTCTTTGTGTCACAGCCTACTTCATCAGTCTCTTATCTGGAGCTGGGACCAAGGTGAGAAAAGAGGGATACTGGGGCAACTCAAGTCCCAGGTTGCCACTCCCCCATCAGACTATATCTTCTTTTCCTCAGGTTTTTGCCAGGCCTTGGGATCAACCCTTAGGGATCAGAACAGCCCTGCCTCACTCTCTCATACTACTCAACTGTTGCAGCAGCTCTTTCCACCACTCTTGGATGCTCTCCAAGAACTGAGGTCAGGATTGATCCATTGCCGCCTTCCAGGTGAGAGGAAGGCCTGGAGACAGGGAAACAGAACAGTTGAGGATATCCTTTTTCCTTCAGTCTGTTCTGAAGTCTGTCTTATCCCAAAGATGCTCCATGTCCCCTAAGATACTCTGCTGCTCCCTTTCTAGGTCCTGCACCTGCCGCCCTGGGACTCTGTACCTTACAGACTACCTTGCTCTGGTTCTTGAACAGAGCTCAGCAGAACCTGGCAGCTTGGATCCCAGGTTCCTTCCTGCTCCTGATCCAAAAGGACCTACCTGTGAGTGTTTAGGGAGTGGGGAGGGGAGCAGCCTGGGCTGGGCTGTGCTCTCACTCCCTGTTTTCTATCCAAAGCCTCTTTTGCATGAGGCAGAAGCTCTGTCCAGCCTGGCCTTAGAGGAAAGCTTAGCCCTGGAGGTAGAGCAGCAGCTGGGCTTGGAGATACAGAAGCTCACTACACAGATGCAGGTGAGGAGAACAGGGTCCCTGACAGTAGAAGTTTAAGAGCCTATTCTGTAACATCTTGGGGGGTACAGTGGACAGAATGGGCAGAGTGGATCATTTCAGTAACTTGGAATATCTACTAAACTAACCTGTTATTGATTTATTGATTATTTTAGTTTTCTCTTACTATGGAAAATTTAAACATATACAAATATAGAGAGAAGAGTATAATGGATCTCCCATGTTTCTACCACCAATAAGGGCTTTAACAATGATCAACTCATGGTCAATTTTATTTCATTTATATACCTCCCACCCTCTCTAATTATGTCAGACTCTCATTTTTTGATGTTAACAGCCACTGACCATCATTGCCTAAACTCATTATTTCATTAGAGGTTGCAAAGGGGTGCTATTCCAATTTTATTTATTTATTCATTCATTTCTTCCTCATTTATTAGATCACTTTTATAAAGACAAACATGTCCTCATTAATGATTTGGTTACCCTGAAGGATGTGTATGTGTGTATGTGTGTGCGTGTGTGTGTGTGTTTTTCTGTTTGTTTGTTTTAGTATTGGGGGGTTGAATCCAGGGGTACTTTACCACTGAGCTGTATCCCCTGCTTTTTTTTTTTTTAATATTTATTTTTTAGTTTTAGGTGAACACAGTATCTTTATTTTATTTTTTTGTGGTATTGAGAATCGAACCCAGTGCCTCACACATGCTAGGCGAGCATGCTACCACTTGAGCCACATCCCCAGCCCCTATCCCCTGCTTTTTAAATTTTTCATTTATTTATTTATTTTTGGTATCAGGGATTAAACCTTGGGGCACTTAACCACTGAGCCACATCCTAATCCTTTTTAATATTTTTTTAAATATTTTTTTTTAGTTGTAGACAGACATATGCTATTATTTTATTTATTTATTTTTATGTGATGCTAAGGATCAAACCCAGTGGCTCACATGTGCAGGCAAGTGCTCTACCATTAAGCCACCACCCCAGTCCCCCTTTTAATATTTTAGAGACAGGGCCTCACTAAGTTGCTGAAGCTGGCTTTAAATTCACAATCTTCCTGCCTCAGCCTTCTGAGCTACTGGGAGTATAGGCCACCATGCCCAGCCCACTCTTTTTATTTTTGAGACAGGGTTTCACTAAGTTGCTTAGGTTCTTATTAAGTTGCTGAGGCTGGCCTCAAACTTGGAATCCTGCCTGAGCCTCCCCAAACACTGGGATTATAGGCATGTGCCACTATACCCACTGAGATATAATTTGCAGAGAAAAATCAGGATAAATGATTGTACCTTTCCCCTTTGTTACCAGTGTTCAATACAATGTTTCTTCTTTCTTTAAAAGCTTAATTTGTATTTTTATTAAAGTAATGCACATCCATAGTATTAAAAAAGTGAAATAGGGCTAGGGATATAGCTTAGTGGTTGAGTGCTTGCCTAGCATGTGTGAGGTCCTGAGTTTAATCCCCAGCACCAAAAAGAAAAAAAAGTGAAAAATGAAATAGAATATTTTTAAAAATATTTTTTTGGTTGTTGATGGACCTTTAATTAATTAATTAATTTATATGTGGTGCTTAGAATGGAACCCAGTGCCTCACACATACTAGGTGAGCACTCTACCACTGAGCCACAACCCCAGCCCATAGAATATTGTATAAGGCTTCTCATGAAAAAAATAATGCGTTATTTGTCCTCATCATTGATTCCTACTTCAGAATGGTAACCTTTGTCCATGCTTAACTGTTTCTTCTAGGATTTCTTTTATATTAATCAATAAAACCATTGTTCTTCTATTTTATTTTTGCCCCATTCTATATATTATCTATTCCTACTGTGGAAGATGTCTGTCTTTTGTTTTCTCTTTCTGCTCAATTTTCTCCTCTTTGCCTTGAATAGGGGCATGGCTGTGGACAGAGTTCATATTAACCCTCTACTCCTTTCTTCTGCATTTCTGCTTACCTAGTGTCTTGGTGCTATAAACTCCCATAGTTCTTCTGGCTCTTAAGAGTTCTAGTCCATCTGAGCATGGTGGCAAATGCCTGTAATCCCAAAGGCCTCAGGAGGCTGCAGCAGTAGAATTATACGTTCAAAGCCAGGCTTAGCAATTTAGCAAGGCTATAAGCAACCTAGTGAGACCTTGTGAGTCCTTGTCTCAAAATTAAAAATAAAAAGGACTGGGGATGTGGCTCAGTGGTTAAGAGCCCTTGGGTTCAATACCTGGTACCAAAAGAAAAAAAAAAAAAAGAGTTCTAGTCCAATATCTGCATTTGCATTTCTATCTAAAATACCGCTGTCTCCTTAAACTCATTATGTCCCAGAGCAGGCTCATTATGAGTAGGGCAGATAGTGATAGTCATGGGAGGCCTGAGGAAGGAAGACCATGGTGGGCATGTGTTTTATAGAAAGTTCCATGGGCCTATGACACAAGTTGGTGGCTGAGCAGTCTCAGAAAAGCAGCAGGGGTTACTGGAGGAAACAGTTCATAGATCCTTGGCAGTAGTAGAGTTGGTCTGACCAGAGCAGAGGCTGTGTGTGCTATGTGTATGCAAGTGTGCATGCGTGCACACATGTGTAAGCCTGCTGTATATACATGTTATGTGTTGGGGAGCGGGTGTGGGGCTGGAGGAGTAAGCAGGTTAGCATCAAATTATGTGGAGGGCACTGAATGAATCTAAGGTTTATCTCATGAGTGATGGGGAGCCACTGTAACAGGAGAAGAGGAACAGTGAAAATGATGAAAGAAGTTTGTTCTAGCCATAGTGGCTGCATAGAAGGGAGGTGGGGAGACATGATATGATATGAGAAAGGTTCAGCTCTTGGATGAGGTTAAGAACAGAGCAAAAGGAACAAGAGACAATGTGTTCACCATGTGGACCAAACACTGCAGAGCACTGTATGCCTCACTTCTCTGCCTGGTGACTATACTGCTAGGCATCTCCTCTGGGTGCCCCAGCATATACAGCGCTGGGATGACAGAGAATCAGGTGTTATGAGTTTTCTCCTTAGATGAACTGTAATGTCCCAAAAGGGGCAAGGGTGATCTCATACTGTGTATCTTGTATCTCTTCAGAATTTTGAGTGTGGAGGTTTCTAACAAATGTCCAGTGATGACAGGACAATTACCTTGATATTCAAGAGAAGGGGAAATCTAGTTTGTTGGAGAAGAAAGAAAGAGTTTAGAGTTGTACAGATTATTGTCAGATGTGCCTGGAAATCTGACAATAATGTCCAACTCTAAACTCTTTCTTTGGGTCACATTGGCCCTTCCCCATCCCCTATTACTTTCTTCTCTTTAGGTTCCCTGGCATCTGCATTATTTTTACAGAGAAACTGCCATATACTGCATTTTTTGGGATACCTGTCTTCCAAAATGGGCTATAAAACAGAGACCTTCTTTATTGCTATCTTCTCTTCCTCCAAAACTACAACCTACCAAACAAGCCACAAAAACAAAACAAAAAAACAGTACATAAGTCATTTCTTGTTTTGTGGGCTATGTTACTCTGGAGAAATGGTATCAAAAATACTGATCATGGGCTAGGGATAGCTCAGTTGGTAGAGTTCTTGCCTTGCATGTACAAGGCCATGGGTTCAATCCCCAGCACCAAAAAAAAAAAAAAAGAAAGAAAGAAAGAGATCCCTCTCTCTGGCATGTGCTTGCAAACACTGGTGGTAATAAGGTGTCTTCTCTTTTTTTCCCCTAGAGTTACTACAGAATAAAATTAACTTCAAAGACTTTCTATTCACTGAATAAAGCTGAAAGCAGAGTATTCCTAGGGCAGTTGTTCATAATTTGTGTCATGGACTCCTGGAAAACTTAATGAAAGCTATAGATCTTTCCTTGGAAATGCCACAATCATGCATACAATCTTAGGAGTTTATGGACACCAAGTTGAATACCTCAGATTGATTGACTAAATTGCAGTACTGGGATTGAACCAAGATGGGCTTTACCACTGAGCTGTATCCTCAGCCCTTTTAATTTTGAGACAGGGTCTCAGTAAATTGCCCAGGCTGGTCTTGAACTAGCAATTCTTTTGCCTCAGCATCCTGAATAGCTGGGATGATAGGCATGCAACACCACAGCCAGTTAACACCTCAGATTTAAAGAAACATCATAATTTGAGAAGTCCCTAACAGATAAGCCTCTTTTACTTTTTTTTTTTTTAATCTGTGCAGCTCCTGCCTGAAGAGTCACTAAGTCTCTTTTTCCAAGAATGTCATAAACAAGCCACACAGGGCTTCAAGCTCTACATGCCACGTGGTCGGTACTGGAGGCTTCGTCTCTGTCCTGGTAACTTTTTATCCCAGCTTCTATTTCTAGGGTCCCTGGGGGTAACAGTATCCCAACCTCTCCAAATACTGTTTCCACACCACTACCTCCATCCTTGTCTTGACTTTCTATGCCCTCCTTCCTGAAATCCTACATTTTTTCACAAACATTCCACAGTCTCATATCCTGTCCTTTCTCTTCTCTCACTCCAGAACTTCCCCATGTTCCTAGTGAGTATGCTGGTTTGGTAGTCCGAACTGTACTGGAGCCTGTATTGCAAGGATTGCAGGGATTATCACCCCAAGCCCAGGCCCTTGCCTTGGGTCAGGCACTGACAGCCATCCTAGGTGCTTGGCTCGACCACATCCTCACCCATGGGATCCGGTTCAGGTGGGGAGAAAAAACTGTGGTAGGAGGAATGGAACTGGGAAAAGGGAGGGCTTAGGAGGCATAGAGCAGTTTGGAGAGGCACAAAGGTCAGGTGGTCACATTGTACCTGGACATTTAGCCTGCAGGGAGCACTGCAGCTCAGACAAGACTTTGGAGTGGTCAGGGAGTTGCTTGAAGAAGAGCAGTGGGGCCTGTCCCTGGAGCTTCGGCAGACTCTGTTCATGCTCAGCATCTTCCAGCAGCTAGATGGAGCCCTGCTGTGTCTACTACAGCAGCCCCTGCCCAAGACTAGAGTCCACTGGAGGCCTCCCTGTTGCTGTGAGTCACTCCCCACCCCCAACCAGAGGTTCTCTTAGCCCCTCCCTAACTGTTTTAAGTGACCCACAGCCCAGACTCACCATTGATCTGCTTTAGTATCTTTTTACAAGCCACCTGCCTTCCACTTCTTTCTTGCCAGGTGTTTGTAATGAAGTCCAGGCCACAGAATGGCCCAGCAGCACCCTCAACAACCTGGAGAGCTTGGAGCCTCCTCTTCGGTCTGGAGCACCCCCAGCCCAGACCAATCAGCTGCTAAGCACCCTAAGGGGAGGAGGACCTAGCCCTGAGGCTTACCTGGTGGGAAATCAGCAGGCTTGGCTTGCCCTAAGGCTGAACCAGCACCCCCGTTGGCAACTGCCCTTTCTTTCGTGCCTGGGGACCAGTCCTGAAATCTAAGGACCAGGAGCTCCCCATCTCTGATTAGAAAAGCCCAGATATTTGGAACTGCATATTAAAGAAGCCTAGAATTGGGAACTTGGGAGAGAGCATACATTAAGCTACACAGAGCTTGGAATCAGAAGCTATGAATCCAAGATCACTCCAGTGCCCGCAATCAAGAGTGAAGGGCAAAACCAGAAGCTGAAACCTGAAGGTCAGCACCCTTGGAAGGGTCAGGCCTAGTTCCCCCTCAGTGAAGACATTGTAGGGCTGGAAGTGGGAGGAGGATTAGGGGTTGAATCTCAGAGTACAAGGAAAGGGAAAGCAATAGAAAACATGCTAGAAGCTGTGCCCTCTTAAATCCCAGAAACACGAATAAAACAGTTTATTCATGGGGAATCTCAAAGGTGGAATACGTATTTCTACCTATGGATCAATCCCAAGGATGGTTTTATCCTGTACTATATTTATTTTCAGTCATTTAAGAATACTGGGTTGTAGGGCTTTCCTATTTAAAGCTTTGGTTATTCAGTTACCTGAAGTGGGTAACCTCCGGTAAGTAGATAATCCCTGCAGTGGTAGAGTCCTCTCCTTGGAAGGAGACAGAATATAAAATGGTGTCAATCTAGATCTTGTACATAAGGATACGGAAGGGGAAATGCTGCAAAAGACAGATGTATTTTTGTACAAAGGGGTTTTGCACTATTGTCTTCACTGTGGAACAAAAGGACTATTAACGATAGGTAGTAATTAGTGGCCGCTTGCTTTGGGTCCCTCGGTACTCGGTGCCGAAGCCATCCCCACCACCTCCCTGCCTTACTCTCTGGCCGCGGAGCTGGGGCAGCAGTTTGGAGCCTGAACTGGCTGCAGGCGATCAGAAATCAACTTTGCTGAGACTGCGGACCACGCAACCTTTCAGCGGCATCACTTCCGCCAGAGCGAGTCCTTCCGGGGCGAAGGTCACCATGGCGGCGGCCTTGGCTCGGCTCGGGCTGAGATCCGTCAAGCAGGTTCGGGTTCAGTTTTGCCCCTTCGAGAAAAACGTGGAGTCGACGAGGTGAGAAGAATGTTGGTGGGGAGGGGATGCTTCTTCTTCCCGCCACTAGCCCTCTCCGCCCGGCACTCATGCCGTTTTTCCCACCGTAGGACCTTTCTCCAAGCGGTGAGCAGCGAGAAGGTCCGCGCCACCAATCTCAACTGCACGGTTATTGCAGACGTGAGGCATGACGGCTCCGAGCCCTGCGTGGACGTGCTGTTCGGTGGGCTTCGTGTGGGAGACAGGCTAGAGGGGGAGGCAGGAAATCCTCAGCCCCACACTGCGTTGCCCAGTGCCTGACTCGTTTGTTTGAATCCTCCCCAGGAGACGGGCATCGCCTGATAATGCGTGGCGCTCAACTCACCGCTCAGGAAATGTTCATCGCTTTCGCTTCCCACGTTCGGGCCAGGAACCCAGCGGGGAGCCGGGACAAACCTGGCGCTGGTACTGAACGGTGACATCGCGAAAGAAACCAACAAGCAGATTTTGACTTGGGACAAGGACACTTAAGCGCGACTTCATCATTCAAATCACTATCTGGAGGGCCACGGAGCAGGGTGGGATGGGAGAGCTTTGCCACTACAATGGTTGGGGGGGCAAGAGAAGATAGGGGTGAGAAGAGGTTTAAATGAACTTGAATTTTTTTCTTTCTTACCCTCACTCACAGCTTAACCCTTTTTAATATGGCTTCTTACATCACTCAAAATACCGTTTGTTCTTGTTTACCAAACGTGCTATTTCCTCAATCTTCAGCTCTCTATCTCATTAGCTTTTGTCACTCTTAATTCACCTTCTCGTGGTACCCCTGCCCCTCTTGGATTTTTCTTGCTTCTTAAACATAAAGGCATACTGCCCTCATCTTTTTTTTCTTCTTTGTGTTCTTCCTAGGGCAACCCATCCCCTGTCATAACTTGAACTATCCTCTCTGGAGTAAAACCCTACGTTTCTGTTTCATTCAAATCCCAATTACTGCACTTTATTCAGGTTACTTACTACCAGCTTCTTCCAATTGCCATCAACATTCTTTGTCTAAAACAGTATTAATTCCAGGAGGTGGAACAGACCTGTAACCCCAGTGATTCTGGAGGCTGAGGCAGGAGGATCACAAGTTCTAGGCCAGCCTCAGCAATTTAGTGAGACCCTTCTCAAAAAAAAAAATACAAAGGACTAGGATGCAGCTTAATGGTAGAGTGCCCCTGGGTTCAATCTCTAGTACCAGAAATAAATAATTAAAAAGTTCTTGATGGTTGGGGTTGTGGCTCAGTGGTAGAGGGCTAGCCTAGCATGTGTGAGGCACTGGGTTCAATCCTCAGTACCACATACAAATAAAAGTCATTGTGTCCATATACAACTAAAAAATATTTTTTAAAAAAGCTCTTGAGGGGCTGGGGTTGTGGCTCAGTGGTAGAACACTCGCCTAGCATATGTGAAATAAATAAAACAAAGGTATTGTGTCCAGCTACAACTAAAAAATATTAAAGAAAAAAGGTCTTGTATCACTATTGCATTCTCCTGCCTGGTCTATATTAATCACTTTTGTGGCTAATTTGATTCTCCCAAAGCACATGACTGCTTAGTGCTCACCACTACCTTCAGTAAAGAGTACCTGAAGTAGTTTTTCATACTGGATTAACCCCCATTAGTGTGCATAATGAAATCAATTTAGGGAATTACATCAGTCTTTTTTTTTTTTTAAAGTGGAATAAAATTTTTAAATGTATGTCACATAGATTGGGAAGTTTTCTTTTAGGAAATTTTAGTTTTAAGCATATAATCATATATGATGTGTGTCTGTGAATGTGTGTGTGTTTGCATGTACTAGGTTGCAATATAGATGATTTGGGTGAGGGGGGGTCTCTCTTTGTTTATTTTTTGGTACCAGGGAATGAACCCAGGGACTCTTAACCCCTGAGCCACAGCCTCAGCTCCCTGCCCACACTTTTTTCCTCAGTCCCCCCCCCCTTTTTTTTTTTTTCTGGAGACAGAATCCTGCTAAGTTATTTAGGGCCTTGCTAAATTGCTGAGGCTGGCCTGGAACTTCTGATCCTCATGCCTCAGCCTCCTGACTTGATGGGATTACAGGCATGTGCCACCATGCCAGCTTGGGTGCAGTGTGGATGATTTCTTACTGTGGTTGTAGGGGGGAAAAAACTGGAAGCCCCTGTCCTAGAGAAGAACTTCAGAATGCTCAGCTAGGCAATCAAAGATCTTAAGACATTGGCTTCTATGTAATTTGTCATATGCATTTCACATAAGCCTCCTTCAATGTTACCATAGCTTTTCCCTGTCTAAAAAAGTGTCTCCCCACTCTCCACCCCATTTAAAAAAGAAAACCACCTGGAAGCAGTATAGTGTATAACCAGATTGCCTGGGGTTGAAATATCACTTCTGCTTTAAGTAGCTGTGTGGCTTGAGACAAATTATTTAATCCATCAGTGCCTGTTTCCTCTTGTCAAATAAGGATAATAGTAGATGGCTCTACTATTGTAATACATAATAAATGGCTCTCCATGGGTTCTGTACACTTGAATTCAGCCACACTCAGACTGAAAAAATTACAGAAAAAAAGACTGCATTTGTACTGAACATGTGCAGACTTTCCCCCTTGTTATTCCCTAAGTAATACAGCATAACAGTTATCTATATATAGCATTTACATTGTATAGGTATCAATGAGCTAGAGATTGATTTAAACTATACAGGAGGGTATATGTAGATTATATGCAAATATCTTGACATTTTATGTAAGGGATTTGAGCAGGGGCCTTTTTGTATAAGGGACTTTCAGGGGTCCTGGAATCAGTCAACTGATAGGATGAATGTCTGCCTCAGACAACTGACAGCATTAAGTGAGTTAACATCTGTAAAGTGCCTACAAGGTTGATGGGAGAATAATAAGTGCTATTATCTAAGAACTTATTCTAAAGTGGAAATCACACTGACAACCTGATTTGGTTCCCCAGCTCCATGATTAATTGTTAACATCTACCTTGCACTTATAAAGGTGATCAGTTCTGGGATACAAAATGAATAAATGAAATTTAGATATGTAATACGTACTACAATAGAGACAAGGACCAAGTACAATGGGGTAGTGCAAACAGGGCTGAGCATTAAGTTTGGTTAGAGGGTGATTGTTGAGTAAGAAATCTACCAATAGGGAGTGGGGCCAGAAGTCAGATTATAGTGAAATATAAGTGAGCATGTTACATAAAGCATAAAGTTTTATGCAATAAGTTTCTGTGGAAAGTATGATAATAGGTAGAGAGAGCATAAGAATATAGAATAGTCTGGGTGTAGCAGAGTGGAACAGGATGTGCATAGTATGGAAAATCCCCAGCACACACCCCTCACCCCCCTGCCCCTCGCCTGCAAAAAAAAAAAAAAAAAAGAATAGGGCTTTCATTTAAAATGGGGTGGACTTATGTATGAAAATAGCTTTTATGTTGCACTATTGGTGAGAAGCAAATTACTGAATCCAAGTTGCATTTCTGAGCTAGTTGACTCTAAGTTGCATTTCTGCACTACCATAAAAGGTAATGCTGATGCTTCTAGGTCAACCTGAGGTGCAGATACTACCTCCTTCCTGCAGCCTTTGCTGACATAGACCAAAGCCACCCTCTCCCTAAGCTTCTCTGCTTCCAGGATTGTTCCAAAGAAAGTGCCTTCTGTAAATACAGGTACCACTATTGTGGTCTTTCTAGGGCTCATCTAAATAAAATAGTAATAGATTATTGGGCTGGAGATGTAGTTCAGTGGTAGAGCACTTGCCTAGTGCATGTACCAGATCTTGGATTCAATTCCCAGCACCAGTGGGGAGATGGGGTGGGAGGTAAGTGCGGACTAGAATTATAGGCCGAGTATACAGGATCTCTTACATATACATATGTCTCTTAAATATACATATGTCTGGTTCCAGACCTAGCTGGACCCAGATCCCAGGCTTCCTCTTGAGTCCACTTTCTCCACTCCTCGAGGACAGAAGGTACTGGCTGTGGGTCAGGTGATCCAGCTTGATTCAAGTACACCTACCTGGGTCCAAAGCTAGCCACTTCCCAGCTCTGTGGCCTAGGCCAAGCTGTAAAGTTGTATTTCCTAGGCCGTGGCTTTCCGTCACCTGATTGGGGCGGGGCAGTTATCAGTAAAACACTCAGGCTGGCTTCTCTGGTTAATATATAACAACTTAAAAAAGGGGTGGGGGGCTCAAAGTAAGATTGGTTTTCTCTACTAAAACCGCTTACTCCGTGAGCGCTCCGCGTAAGCGCAGACCCAGTGAGCCGTCCCTTCCCAGTGCCGACCGGGTTGATCCACCCCTTCGCCAGGCTGGCGACAGCGGTTCCGGGCTTAGGGGGGATTTGACCTGACGTGGCGGGGCGGGACTTCCGGCGCGAGAAGGACCCGAAGCCAGAGGCGCGGGCCCACTGGTGCTGACAGGACCACAGTTGCTGGGGCGCCAGGCGAGAGCCGGAGCAGGAGAGGCAGGACCCGGGCGCCACTGCAGCCTGTCTGCTCTCGGGCAACGTCCTCGGTACTAGGATGGCTCGAGGCGAGCGGCGACGTCGCGCAGCGCCCGCTGAAGGAGCCCGGGCAGTAGAGAGGGAAGCTCGGGTCGGCTCGGGGCGACGGGACGGCCGGGGCGGCAGGGCCCGTGGCGCCGCCGGGGGAGCGGCCCTAGCTGTGGTGGTTCTGGCTCTGGCTCTCGCCCTGTCGGGGCGCTGGGTGCTGGCGTGGTACCGTGCACAGCGGGCGGTCACGCTACACTCTGCACCCCCAGCGCTGTCCTCCGACTCCTCCAGCCCAGCGGTGGCCCCTGACCTCTTCTGGGGTACCTACCGTCCTCACGTCTACTTCGGCATGAAGACTCGCAGCCCGAAACCCCTCCTCACCGGTAACTGGGCCCCGGGGTGGGCAGACAGGCACACTCTTAATCTGGGTGTCCCAGCTTCCCGCCAGAGCAAGGGTGGGGCGGAGTGGAGCAGGAGTTAAGAAGGAGGATGACCCTCAAGTTCTCAGAAACCCACAGGAACAGGTCCTCCCGCTCTCTCTTTGACTTACTTGGCCATTCTACCCCCAGGACTGATGTGGGCGCAGCAGGGCGCCACCCCAGGGACCCCTAAGCTCAGGCACACGTGTGAGCAGGGAGACGGCGTGGGTCCCTATGGCTGGGAGTTCCACGACGGCCTCTCCTTCGGGCGGCAACACATCCAGGATGGGGCCTTAAGGCTCACTACTGAGTTCGTCAAGAGGCCTGGGGGTCAACACGGAGGGGACTGGAGCTGGAGAGTGACTGTAGAGCCTCAGGTCAGGGCCTCAGGATACCCTTTCCTCAGCCCAGACTCCCTCAGTCCTTCCCTTGCTGCCAGCAAATGCAGTCTGAAGTGGGGGTTAATAGCCATGAGTCTGGCTTACTGGTTCGAAATCTGTCTTAAATTCGAACTTCTCTGTATGACTGTGTATCACCCCAAAGCCTTGTTGGTAAAGCAAAGATAATAGTAACACGGAACTCACAAGATTGTAAGAATTAAAATAATCTGTGTAGAGTTCTTAGCAGAGGACACAGCACAAGTATTCCATTATTTCCCAGAGAACTCTGTAAGGCTCTTTAGATCATCCCACTGGGTATATCTATTTAGCCTCAGTGACTCAGCATTGCCAAACACATATTGTTTACCATGTTACTCCTGCCTAAAATGCCTTTCCCTCTCTAAGGCTGATTCTCAAGAAAAACTGCCAATTTAATGCTATTTTTCCCCCCTGTTCTTGGTCACCCAGGCTTTAGGTACCTCTGCCCTCCCTTTGGTCTCCCTTTTCTTCTATGTGGTAACAGATGGCCAGGAAGTCCTACTCCCAGAGGTTGGGGCAAAGGGGCAGTTGAAGTTCATCAGTGGGCACACCAGTGAACTTGGTGACTTCCGCTTTACACTTTTGCCACCAACCAATCCAGGGGACACTGCCCCCAAGTATGGCAGGTAATTCAGGGAAGAGTGTGGAGTGGTTGTAGGGGTGGTTTGGATGCTAACTTAACCTGATTCGCTTCTCTCTACTTTCCTTCCACTAGTTACTTCTAGTCTCACCAATGTCCATATTCCCTGCATTAAAACCTCTTATCGTGATTCCTGATCACCTCATATTTCCCTTTATAATTTTCACCACCTCTTCCTAAATACTATTTTTTTAATATTTTTATTAGTTACTGATGAACCTTTTATTTATTTGTGTGTGTGTGTTTTTTTTTTTTAATATGTGGTGCTGGGAATCGCACCCATTGCTTTTCACACATGCTAGGCAAGCACTCCACCACAGAGCCACAACCCCAGCCCCCTGAATATATTTTCTATTTCTCTTCTTGTCTTCAAGCTACAATGTCTTCTGGTCCTCCAACCCAGGACTGCCGCTGCTGACAGAGATGGTGAAGAGTCGCTTAAATAGCTGGTTTCAGCATCAGCCCCCAGGGGATTCTCCTGAACGCTATCTCGGCTTGCCAAGATCTCTGAAGTGGGAGGACAGAGGCCCAAATGGGCAAAGGCAGGGACAAGGGCAGTTCTTGATACAGCAGGTGACACTGAAAATCCCCTTTTCCATGGATTTGGTGTTTGAATCTAGCAGTGCCCAGGCAGGAGGAAACCAAGCCCTGGGACAGCTGGCAGGCAGCCTACTGACCCAGGCCCTAGAGAGCCATGCTGAAGCCTTTCAAGAGCGTTTTGAGAAGACTTTTCACCTAAAAGAGAAGGGCCTGAGTCCTGAGGAGCAGACTTTGGGTCAGGTTGCCCTCAGCAGCCTCCTTGGTGGGATTGGCTACTTCTATGGACAAGGTCTGGTATTGCCAGACATGGGGGTGGAAGGGTCTGAGCAGAAGGTGGACCCAGCCCTCTTTCCACCTCTCCCTCTTTTCTCAGGGGTACCCTCCAGGTCATTCTTCCCACGTGGCTTCCTTTGGGATGAGGGCTTTCACCAGCTAGTGGTCCATCGGTGGGATCCCCACCTCACCAGAGAGGTCCTAGGCCATTGGCTGGGGTTGCTGAATGCTGATGGCTGGATTGGGCGGGAGCAGATACTGGGGGATGAGGCCCGAGCCCGGGTACCCTCAGAATTCTTGGTGCAAAGGGCAGCCCATGCCAACCCCCCAACCCTCCTTTTACCTGTTGCCCACATGTTAAAAGGTGGTGACCCTGCTGACTTGAATTTCTTGCGCAGGGCCTTCCCCCGCCTTCATGCCTGGTTTTCCTGGCTCCATCAGAGCCAAGCAGGGCCAGTGCCACTCTCTTACCGCTGGCGAGGCAGGGACCCAGCCTTGCCTACCCTACTGAACCCTAAGACACTGCCATCAGGGCTGGATGACTATCCCCGGGCTTCACATCCTTCAGCAACTGAGCGGCACCTTGACCTGCGATGCTGGGTGGCACTGGGTGCCCGTGTGCTGTCTCAGCTTGCAGAGAAGCTAGGGGAAACTGAGGCAGCTGCTGAGCTGGGCCCACTGGCTGCCTCACTGGAGGCAGAGGAGAGCCTGGATGAGCTACACTGGGCTCCAGATCTAGGAGTCTTTGCAGACTTTGGGAACCACACAAAAGCTGTACAGCTGAAGCCTAGGCCCCCTCAGGGGCTGGTTCGAGTGGTGGGCCGGCCTCAACCCCGCTTGCAATATGTGGATGCCCTGGGTTACATTACTCTTTTTCCCTTCCTATTGCGGCTTCTGGACCCCAACTCACCCCACCTCGGACCCCTGCTGGATGTTCTAGCTGACAGCCGCCATCTCTGGAGCCCCTTTGGTTTGCGCTCCCTTGCAGCCTCCAGCCCCTTTTATGGCCAGCGCAATTCAGAGCATGATCCCCCCTACTGGCGGGGTGCTGTGTGGCTGAATATCAATTACCTGGCTCTGGGAGCACTCCACCACTATGGGCACCTAGAAGGTCCACATCAGACCCAGGCTGCCAAGCTCCACAGTGAGCTCCGTGCCAATGTGATAGGCAATGTGTGGAGGCAGTACCAGGCTACAGGGTTTCTGTGGGAACAGTACAGTGACCAGGATGGGCATGGCATGGGCTGCCGCCCTTTCCATGGCTGGACCACCCTAGTCTTACTGATCATGTCTGAAGACTACTGAACAGGGGGATGGGAGAAAAGCCAAGCCACTCAGAGTCTGGAGGTACAAGGTCTCCTGCTGCCCAGCTTCTCAATTACCAGTAATTCAAACCTTCCTCGGTTCATCTCAGGTGTCTACTATGTCGCCCCACACAGCCTGGGGTGAATGTGAACTCAGAGTCTATTTTTCTAAATAAATTGGAAAAAACAAACCAAACTATTGCTTTTGCCAGCTTTGCTTCACCAAGTCTTAGTTCAGGCTTCAGGGATACCTACTATCTTAAGAGAATGTGATATAAATGGCTATAACTTATCTCCTTCAAAGCCAGGTATATCAAATGCAATGCAGCAAGTTGAGTTCTAGTCCACTCAAATCCACAAGCAGCTGGTTCACATCTCTTTAATGAGATCAAAGGCTCCTGTGGATGTCTTTGGGGAGGGCAAAACTAGCACAGTCCCCCAATACTGCCCCTCTCCTCAGGGCTCCAGCCCCTTCAGGCAGATTCTAGGAGGGCAGGGAGGAACCAAGGAGGAATTTGAGGCCAGGGCTGTTTGTGAAAAGCCAGTGGTCCACCCACCCTCCCAAAACTACTTATGGGATGTCCCCTTCACTGGAAGCCAGCCCCATGGGAGAGACCTGTGGCAAGGGGTCTGGGGGCAGTGTACAAGGGGACTGGTCCTCCAGATCTGGTGGGATGGCACTAGCCCTCACCTCCTTGATTGGGTCAACCTCACTGGAATCAGGACAAGGGCAGAGCTCAATACCCGAGTCACCAGTCAGGCGACGATAGCGGCAAGAGGGAGGTGTGTGGGCTGGGCTGACCCTTGCCCTAGGCTCACTCTCCTGATGAGGGGAGGCACTCTCGTGGGAGGAAACACCTTCCACGTTTGTCCCCTCGCAGTGGGCAGGGCAGTTGGGTGCAGAGGAACAGCGGGTGCATTCACTGGAAGCAGTTAAGGGGTGGCCAGGGGCCATAGTATAAGGAGGTGGTGGTGTGCCTGGGCGGTGAACCACATCCTCATAGGCAGGGGGTTTGAAGGCGCTGAGGAGGCCTGCAGGGAAGAGAATAGCATGGTTGAAGGCAACCAAGCATGAAGAAGTGATCTGACACTTGAGAAAAGGGTTCTTTGAAATGTGTGCAAAAGGGAATGTGGGATGATTCAGGGTCCTGGTTTGGGAAGGGTCACTGGTAGCGGACTCAGAGCCTCAAGTCACTCACGAAGGTCAAGCAGTGAACCGGCAGGGACAGGGCCAGCCCCGTGGCATGCCCCATGGTAGGCCAACAAGTTGATCTCACGTTGCCGCTGCTGTTGTTGCAGCCGAAGTTTAGCTCGACGGTGGCGGAAGGCGCAACAGCAGCTAAAGAGGATGAGGACAGTCCAGAGCAGCCAGAACCCTGCAGGAGGCAAGGAAGGAGTATCTTAAATATCTCCCATTCAGAGAAGGGTCCTGAAAACTGGAGTTTCAGGGTCCAAAGGAGGATGGGCAGAGGGACCTGAGAATAGCCCTCATGGAGACTCACACCAGAGTTCATAGTAGTAGGTACAGCAGCCAGTCTCCCCGCAGCAATGACCACTCTCACAGAGGTAGGGCTGGTTGTTCACTCCTGGGCACAGCTCTCGAAGCTGGGAGCAAGGAGGCACTTGAACTAAGGAAGATTCTAGCTCCAAGCATTGCCCACCCGCACCTCCTTCATGCACATAATACACAATTCTACTCATGAGCCAAGTTCAGCTTGGAAAGATGAAGGGATGCTGGGGGAATTGTTCAAATATTTGAAAGGCTATCAATGTGAAAGAGAATTTGGAACAGCAAGAATTTGGTGCAGTCTAGAAAACAAACATAAAAGTGTTCACAACAAAGAGGAAGATAGATTCCAGTTCTGCATAACGGAGACTTCTCTCATACTGAAGCCTGGCCCTGCAGGGTGCTTTCTGTTAAGGGAGTGTTTTGGCAGAAGTGAGAAGCCAGTCTGAGCTATCTGTCTGAGAAATGAGTAAGAATTTAAGGTCATTTCCAAAGCTAAAATAATTCCATCATCTCCCACAGCCTGCTACCCCCCACCCCCAAGCTGAATCTTTCCACTTCTGGGACTCAGTCTCTCTAGGGTAGAGGAGGGGCAGTGTGAGACCCAGAGCAGTGCTCCCAACCAGATGGGATTGCTGTGGATGATAAAGGATGGCATCCAGGGCGCGAGTCTGGGTTCCAGCTCTTCTCCAGATTGCTCCCTCAAGAGAAGACGCTGCTGGACTCTGTTGTGACAATAGGCACACACAAAAACAAAAAATAACAAATAACTGTTTCAAGACAAAGGGAGTCTCCCTGGGACCTCACTATGCCTCTGGTCACTGGAGAGCTACTGCAAGCTTCCACTGCAGCCAAGGGATGGGGTCTATGAGGCTGCAGTTTAAGTCAACTGCGTCTACATTACAAAGTTTAGACAAAGAGTGAGACATGTTTAGGAACTTCACAGTACCTTTGGCTCGGTGAGTTCCTCCCCCACCACCCACCCCCCCTCACCAACAGGAAGGGTCAGGAAGGGGAAAGAGAAATAAATGGCTGTCGTGATAGGCTTTTGGAGCTGTTGGGATACCTGCTGTTGCGGCGCTTGAAGTGCCCCCCAGGCCTCCTCGCTGCCGTTCCCGCTGCTGGCCCGAGCCATGCCTCCACCTACAGCCCCCTGAACACCACAGCCTCCTCTACCGCCAGCTGCCCCGCCCCTGCCACCTCTGCTGGCACCGCCATGGTCCCTGCCCGGCCCATGTTCGCGGCCGCCACCATCACTCCGCAGCCGGAGCTTCCATCCGGGGAGAGCTCGGCCAACTAGGACCCAGGTTGGCCTATCCAGCCAATCAGCATCTTCCTTCGACGGATTGGCCAATTGGAGCACATTAGCGACTTCTCCCAGTAACCAATCCCCAGAAGTAATTCCACTGCTTTCCCAGACAACAAGAGCTTGCACAGACAAAGAGTGGGGGAAGGTTCGACCAGAGCCCTGACTGACAGCGACAATAGCCAATATGGACAACAGAACAGGCTTTGACTTATCAACCAATGAATGCCGTCCAGAAGAGCAAAGTTCCTACTGATTGGCCTAAATCAGGTTTTCCGGATGACGCTCAATGCCGAACCACCACAGGTAATCCCGCTGGAAGAGGCAAGGTTCTGAGAGTCGGCCCGAGTCCAAGGGTGCACCCGCTGGCCTTCTTGCAGTGGTTTCCAAACCCACGTAGGGCAAGATGTGTGTACCAGAGATTGGTCTGCCCATATACCACTCCCCCAAGTCCGTACAAGCTGAGACACTGGATGAAATTTAATAGGGTAGGGAAGACACTGAAAACCAGGCATGGGAAGAGAGCGCTGAGTCCAGGTTTGGTAACGGCATTAAGTAGCCAAAAGGGGGGACCCTGGGCCCTCGGGTCCCCCAAGCCGCATCTGCAGGTTGATACGATAACACTGAAGGCTGCACAGCGCCTGGCCCGTGCGGGAGCAGGCGTACCGGCGCGGGTGAGGGCAGCCAGGGACAGAGCAGCGCGGAGGAGGGCCTGTTGGAGCTGGACGCTGAGAGACAGCAGCGGGGGAGGGGACGCCAGGTGGGAAGGAAAGAGTGGAACCCTGTGCCCCACTGCTGTAGCGCACCATGGGGGCCGGGGCTGCGGCCCGCCCTCCCCGCCGCTCGCCTCGCGCAGCCCCCCGACCTCCCCGCCCGCTAGGAGCCGCAGTCTTGGTGAGGCGCTCGATTGTCTGGTTCTTGTGCTCCTCCGCTCGCCGCGCGGCCTGCAGTCGCCGCTTGCGGGCTCGCTCCTCGCGTTTCAGCAGCATCTCCTCCGTGAGGGCAGGGGCCGGGCAGCCCCCAGCGACAGGCAGCGGCATCATCGGGGAAGGCTGACTCCGTGCCTTCTGGAGCAGAGCTCGCTGGGGAAAGAGAAAGAGTAGCATCTGAAAATGGAGCAAGAGGGAATTGGAAGGCCCGCCAGGTCCAGGGAAGGGACAGAGGGGACGTGGAACGAACATATAGGATCTTGAGGAATGCAGACCTGGGGAGAAGGGGAATTAATGAGCACCCTCTTCTGGGGTCCTTAATACTGCCTCCTCCCAGGTCTCTCCTGATATTCAGGTTTAGATTCTCAACTCTCGAAGGGAAAAAAAAAATAGTAATATTACCAGCCTGCCCTATGTACCAAAACTCTGCCACTCTTCTGGAGGTTTTTGTTGTTTTTAATCTTTTTATCTCAATAGATAGCATCAACTGGATAACTGCTCAAGCCAAAAATTCAGGGTTACCCATGATTCCATTTTTCATCAAATATCTATTTCCAAAATATATCCAGCATTCATCTGATTTCTCCATTTCCACTTTAAACTTGATTCCAATCATCACCATCTCTTAGCTTCCTAATTGGACTCCCCATTTCTATCACTTAAGACTCATTCTCCACATAGAAGCTAAAGTAATCTATTGAAACGCAAACCCAATGTTATTTCTCTGCACACAACCCACCAGTGGCTTAGCCACAATTTTTCTTCTCCTTTACCTTGCTAGGTAAGTTCCAGTCTCAGGGCTTTGCATCTATTGGTCCTTTTGCCTGAAGAACTCCTCTGATATTGGAACTATTACCGCTTCAAAAAGGCCTTCCCTGAAGTGTACACCTAATGTCTCTTTGCCACTTTCTATTTTCATTATACAACCTTTTTCTTGTCATAAACTGTAGAGCATCTTGCAATTATTTGCTTATCCCCCCTCCCAACACACACACACACACACACACCCTAGACTATCAGCTCCATGAAAACAGAAAGTTTGTCTTTTCTCCCCATTGATGCCTCATTGCCTAGCAAAGTGCTTGGGACACTGCAAGTTCCAAATACACATTTGATGAGTAAATAAAGAATGAAATTAACTTACTTGTCGAGCTGTGAGCAACCGTTCATTGATCTCCTTCTTGAGGTCTCCATTGTCATCCAGTTCCCCCTTCTCCAGGGCATCCAGCCACCTCTGTTCCTCCTCTTCTTCCTGGCCCCCTAACCCCCCTGACAGGTCCCGAATTGGAGAGGGGGACAGATTACTGTCTTCATCTGGGAAGGAAAATTGGAGAGATATGAGTAGAATTGTTTAGATGAGGGCCCCTGTTTGGCCAAGTTAATTCTAGGACATTAAAATTTCTCACCTACTTCAGAACCAACCCCCTTCCTTACTCAGGTATAACAAAAAAACAAACAAACAAAAAAAAAAACACCAGTTTCCCCACCTCCAGGTCCTTCTCACCCAGCCAGGCTCGGTATTGCTCCAAGGGAACTCCTTCCATAGGTTCCTCTTCATTATCCACAACCATGAGAGGAGAGGGTGAACGAGGACCCTCAGGGATCACAGTGAAGGTAGGAACACTGCAGAGAGAAAACACTACTCTATAAAGTGACCAAGTGTTTCCTGCTTGGTATATACATCACAGCCTTCCCTACACCATTGGGTTTTGGCTGCCTAAACCTGGGACCTAAATTCACAGTGCCTTCTCTGTCTTCTAGAAAGCCCAGCCAGTTTCTACTTTCGCCTGCTCCTAAAGTTCCCCAGGGAAACTCTAGAACCTCTTGGCCTCACCTCTTGGTGCCTAAGACCTGCCCGCCCAGCTTGATTTTGAGTTTGAGCTGGGGCTTGGCGGGAGATGGCTGTGTGGGACCGGCCTCTTCTTCCTGATGGTGTTTCTTCTTGTGCTTTTTCTTGTGCTTCTTGTGCTTTTTCTTGTGCACTCCGTGGCCATGGGCACCCGCGAGGCTCAACTCCAGCGCTTCCCCTGCGGAAGGAGAGCCTGTCAGCGGCGTTCGGCCAAACCGTGGCAGAGGAAACCCTGAATAATCTAACACTCATAAAGGGGACCCCCTCTTCCTGCGGTACTAGCTGTTGCCATAACGACAGCACCGCCTTTCTTCCTCCCACCTGTGGCAAGGTACTCAGGACGCTCCAAGAAGCATAAAGAACTCCTTTTCAAAGAAGGCCTAAGTTGGATAGGCAAATGCTTACCCGGCTCAGGAGCCTCCATAGCCCCTGAGGTGCTCCCGCGCCGCCACAGCTTACTCATGGGGTCCTCTAAGGGAAAAGGTCTGGAAATGGTCGGGAAACATGCAGACATGCCTTTTCCGCCCCGCGGAAGAACTAATCCCGCAAAATAAACCTCTACTTCCGGTGCATGGCAACCATGCTTGTGCGGGGCACGCTTTGCAGCCAAAACCCCCCCCCGAGAAACAACGATCCTTTCAACGAAAGTTCCGGGCTCTTTGAGCCAGAACGGCCCAAATAGGGCATGGCTTTCTCCTCGCTCCGCCTCTCCACACTAGATTCCAGAACTCCACCGGGACGAGCCAATTATTACACTCAAGCTTGGTAAACTTATACCCCAGACCAAATGTGGGAGCTAGGTTAAGAGAATACAAAGGTGAAAATGAACACTAACTCTTCTCTAGAGGAGCTCACATTTCGGTAGAAGAATGCGTGAGAAAGTACATTGCCAGCAAGATGCTTAACAGCGTAAGTGCCTCAAGAGCCCAGTAGGTGGAATTTAAGCCTAAAATCTCATCGGTGGGGAAATGGACAATTAACGGTGTATCTATACAATTTGGAACACCACGTTGCTGAGAAAAGTTGAGCAATGTAAAAATTGACACAGAATTTAGATACCTGTGATTTGTAACACTTTGGAAACAATCCAAGGATCCTGATAGACATCAAAAATTAGTTTGGGGGATTTTTCCCCCCCAGAAGTGGCTGCCACACTATCGCATTTTGTGCTTCTGACATGAAGGAAGCAGAATCTTTACCTGGTAGATTTATTTTTGTGGGCATCTATCCACCGCTGGGTCTGGGACATCACTTAAGTGAAGGTCGGTGGAGTCGCAGAGCTGTCGAAAAGCTGTGCTGAAGAAAACAAAACATATCAGTGACAAATAGCCCAGGGTATCACAGATGGTCTTGCTATGGCTTCCTTGACTGACCTCAAACTCTTGGGCTCAGATGATCCTCCTGCCTCAGACTTCTGAGTAGCTGGATCTACAGAATAAGACTGATTTTGTGGGGAAATGAAGCTATGTATTCCAGTTTTAGAAGACCTGAATCTGCTGTGTTGAAAATCTCCTTTTCTTGTCCCTTTAGGAATGACAGAAATAAAAGCAAATGAGTCGTTTTAACAGGTGTTGGTATTAAGATGGTTTACTGTAATAATAATGGCTTCTGCTTGCTTCACAACTGAATGAAGGGAGATAAGGACAGGTACTGGTAGTAGCAGAATCTGAAAGAAGGGAGATAAGGACAGGTACTGGTAATAGCAGAAATGATGAACAATGAAGACAAAACCACCAGTTTGAAGAGATTATGAGTATCATTTAAATTATATATAGTCATATATAAATTATATATACTTATATAATATACATCGTAATAAATATATATAAATATTATATAATAAATTAAATTTATTATTACATAATTGAACCCTCTGAGATTTTTTCTTTCACATATTATAGATGTAAAACCTGAGATCATATTTCACTAAGAGCCTACTTCCTAGACTTGGTTTGTGTTTTTGTAATGTAGAAGAGGTGCTATGAAATCTTGAATATTACAACTTTGAAATCAGAATAGCTGGCTCCAAAGCCAATATGTGATTGGATTTTTTAAATATTTAATTTTTAGTTGGACACAATAGGTGGACACAATATCTTTATTTTATATTTATGTAGGATTGAATTGAACCCAGTGCCTCACGCACACTAGGCAAGAATTCTACCACTAAACCACAACCCCAGCCCCTATGATTGGAATTTTTTAAATAGCAAATGCATTCTTTTTTCTAGAATTATGAGGCTTTTTAAAAATATCACCACCTAGGTTTATTGACTCTGTTGTCACTATTTTAAAGCTTGTTACATTGTATTTTACTTTAAAAAATATTTTTTAGTTGCAGATGGACACAATACCTTGATTTTACTTATTTAGTTTTATGTGGTGCTAAGGACTGAGCCCACGTGCTAGGCAAGCACTCTACCACTGAGCCACAACCTCAGCCCTGTATTCTACTTTTTAATATAAATCACTCAGGTTTTCGTAAGCTTTTTTTTTTTTTTTAAGTTTTGAAATACTGCTCTTCTTATCTTGTTAAAAGAATTGTTATGATAAACCTGAAAAAGTGAAACATCTTTCCCAAAGAAACAACAGATTACAAATGAGCCAGCTTCATGGATCATATATGGAAGTAATTAACTATAAAGTTTGCAGGGCCAAGGGCACAGTTCAATGATAGAGCATGCTGATGCTCAAGCTGTGTCTGCAGGACCACATGAGGAGGAAGGAACAATGACAACAGCAAAAGTCATGACATTAGGTTTACAAATACTAGTCTGAGGAAATAGACAAATCCTATCAGGTACAAAGGCAACTGAAGTGGACTCTTTAAAATATGCAGGGGTATGGAATCTAAAGGGAGATCTTTGTAGTCAAAGATTTTATTTTAGTGAATTAATTGCATCCTACACAGACAAACCTAAGCAAACCTGGAAAAAAACACATTTTAAATAGGAAAAATGTTTTTATATATGTTCATGAAGTTTATAGTTTTGGTAAACAGATCATCAGAAGAGAAACAGGCTACAGCAAAGATGAAGAGCAGGAGTTGGCAAATTCTTTTAGTAAAGGGTCAAATAGTAAGTAGACTTTATTAAAAAGTAGACATAGACTGAATATGCCTGTATTCCAGTAAAATTTACTTAAGAAAGTAGGTGGGGGGCCATAGTTTTCAAATCCCGGAAAAAAAGTTGGGGGCTGGAAATACAATTCAGAGGTAGAGTGCCTGCCTAGAATACATGAGGGTTCCATCTCCTGAACAAGTCATGGTGGCACACTTTTGTAATCCCAGCAACTGGGGAGTCTGTGGCTGGAGGATCCTAAATTCAGGGTCAGTATTTTAGCAAGAACAGAAAGGACAGAGAAGTTGCTTAACTTTAGATTACCCCTGGGTTCAGTTCCCAATACCAGGGGATAAAAAGAAACAAAACAAGGTATATCTGTATGTGTTGATAATTTTTTATTTGTTTTAATTAGTTACACATGACAGTACAATGATCTTGACATATCATACATTTGAATCAGATTGTGTTGATAAATTTTAAAATTTTTCAAGATAATGTGGTTCCATTTTTAAAGGTATAATCCACTAGCTGGCATGGTGGATTCATGACTATAATTAGTCCCACTGACTTGTGAGGCTGAGTCAGGAGGATATCAAGCTCAAGACCAGTCTTAGCAACTTAGCAAGACTTGTCTAATAAATAAATAAATAAGGACTGGGGATGAACTCAGCGGTACAGTACCCCTGGGATAAATCCCTAGTGCATAAAAAAGAAGAATTGGGGGTTTAGGCACTTTTATTATCTAGGTCTGTAATGCACTTTCTTACAATGTACATTACATTTGCAATTTAGGAATAAACAACACCCATATATACATATTTATATATATATATGAGTGTACAATGCAAAGAAAAAGGAAATAACTTATTTGAGAGACATTTCAATGATAAAAATGATCAAGTATCAATATGTAGTTATGTATGGGAATTGAGTAAGAAGTCAATGTAGTAGAGTGATTAAGAGATTGGACTTTGGAGTTATACAAGTCTATTATCAGATCCAAGTTCCAACATTTATTATCTGTGCAACCTTGGACTCAAAGTTATTTAAGCTTTCTGAATCTCAGATTTTAGCTTTGTAAAATGGAATAAAGTAGGATCAACTTTATAGGGTTTTTTTGAAGGAATAAAGCAAATCAAGAAAGCAAAATATCTAGGGTAGTATTGGCACATAAGAGGTTTCTAGCAAATAGTAATAGTTATAATAATAATTAATGACTTTCATGTTTCTAGGTAAAGTATATAGAGGGAATGTTTCTTTTAAAAAAAAATTTATATAAAGAACCCAGGCACTTTGCACATTTTAGGCAAGTACTCTATTACTGACCTACATTCCCTGCCTTTTTAAAAATCTTATTTTGAGGCAGGGTCTCCCTGGACAGGCAGTCAGCTGTTCATTGGGTTCTTTTTCTGGTCCTTTTCCTCTTCATCTTCTTGCACTTTTTGGACTCTTATTTGCCTCCATCCCTTGAGGACTCCATTATTATACTGATGTCATCCCCATTCACACTGTCAATGTTCGGTAAGGTTGAGAAAAGGAGGAATAAACAACACCCATATATACATATTTATATATATCTCTGTGTGTGTGTATATATATATATATATATACACACACACACACACACACACACACACACACACACTGCACTGAAGCTGTGACCAGCTTTGTGCAGTCCTGTAGGGGGCAGGTGGAACTCTGAGGAGAGGATGCATTTTAGAAAGCTTTGAAGGTGATATTCCCATGTCACTGGGAGTTAAAGTGAAGAATCACTCATAATAAACAGTTGGAGAAGACCTAAGAGTTTATAACTTGTTTTCATGTGGTTTCTCTCTTTCTTTCTTTTTTTTATTTTTTATTTTTTGGTGGCACTGGAGGTTAAACCCAGGGATGCTTTACCACTGAGTCACATTCCCAGCACTTTTTGTGTTTTTCATTTAGAGACAAAGTGTTGCTAAGTTGCTTAGGGCTTTACTAATTTGCTGAGGCTGGCCTCAAACTTGCAGTCCTCTTGCCTCAGCCTCCCAAATTGCTGGGATTAAGACATGTACAACCAGGCCCCACTCGTGGCCTTTTTCTACCCTAACCCTCATGATAACTCCCGAAGGGAGTTGTTCCCATCTTACATGAGGAAACTAGGGCTGGGGTTGTGGCTCCGTGGTAGAGCGCTCACCTAACATGTTCAAGGCCCTGGGTTCCATCCTCAGCATCACATATAAATAAACAAAATAAAGGTATTGTGTCCAACTACAACTAAAAATAAATATTAAAAAAATGAGGAAACTACAACAATAATTGTTGATGAGGATGTGGGGAAAAAGGTATACTCACATTGCAAATTGGTGCAACCATTATGGAAAGAGGTTTGGAGTTTCCTCAGAAAACTTGGAAAGGAACCACCATTTGATCCAGCTATTCCACTTCTCGGTTTATACCTAAAGGACTTAAAATCAGCATATTACAGTGATGTAGCCACATCAAAGTTTATAGCAGCTCAATGAACCAACCTTCAACAGACGATAAAAAAGTGATATATTTATACAGTAGAATATTACTCAGCCTTAAAGAAGGATGAAATTATGGCATTTGCTGGTAAATGGATGGAGCTAGAGAATATCATGGTAAGCAAAATAAACCAACCCCCCAAAACGAAAAGCCAAATGTTTTCTCTGATATTCAGATGCTAATTCACAATGGGGGGATGATAGGGAAGAACAGAGTTACTTTAGATTAGGTAGAGGGGGGTGAAGGGAGGGGAGGGGGTATGGGGGTACGAAGGATAGTAGAATGAATCAGACATTATTACCCCATGTACATGTAACTATATGACCAGTGTGATTCTACATAATGTCCAACCAGAAGAATGAGAAATTATACTCCATTACATATGAAAAAAAATGAGGAAACTGAGGCTCAGAGAGATGAAATGTCTTGGCAAAAGTCACACAGTTAGGGAATAACAGAGCCAGTCTCACACAGAGACTTCCTGAAACTGGCCTGGTTCCTGGCCACGTTTCAGCTACATCCTGATGTCCAGCAGGGAGGAAGTAGCCACAGTAAGTGATGACTGACTTCATTATTTTGTTTTTAGGGTCTTTTTTGTTTGTTTGTTTATAGTAGGAGGGATTTAAACATGTTTAGGGGCTGAGAATTCCTTCTGAAAGAGTTCTTAGCCCTTTCTTTTTTCCTCTTACTCCTCCTCCTCTGCCTCCTTTTGTTGTGTGTGGGGGTACTAGGTATGAACCCATGGCTTTTCTGGTGCTAGGCAAGTGCTCTATTACTTAGCTACACCCCTCTCCCTATCCCTTTTTATTTTTTTTTAATATTTTATTTTTTAGTTATAGTTGGACACAATACCTTTATTTTATTTATTTATTTTTATGTGGTGCTGAGGATCGAACCCACGGCCTTGCACGTGCTAGATGAGCGCTCTACTGCTGAGCCACAACCCCAGCCCCATTATTTTTTATTTTGAAACAGGATCTTGCTACACTGCAGAGGCTGGCCTAGAACTTGTGATCCTCCTGCCTCAGCCTCCCAAGATTGCAGGTGTGCACCACTGCACCTGGCTCTTGCCTTTATTTTTAAAAATTAATTTATTTTGAAATATTTCCAATTTATAGAAAAAATGTAAGAAGAATACAGAGAACTCTTATCTTCTTATGCCAGATTCTGCAATTATTAATATTTACCTATGCTCGTATTGGTTCTCATTTTTTTCCTGATCAATTTGAGAGAAAATCTCAAACATGATGCTATTTCATTCCTAATTATTTCAGAATGTATTTCCTCCAAACAAGTACAATATTCTATAATTTTCATGCAACCTTACCAACCAGGAAATTAATCTTGAAACAACACCACCATCCAATTCACAGATTCCATTCAAACTTCACAAATGTGCAATATCTCCTTTTCCTTTCCACTCCAAGTCCAAACTCAGGATCATCTATTACATTTATTTATCACATCTCTTTAATCAGTTTCAATACAGAACACTTCTTTATTCCTATCATGTCTTTCATGACCATTATAATTTTAGAGTATGGTGTTTTATTTTGTAGGATGTTCCTCAGCCTGGGTCTGTCTGGTGTGCCCTTGGGTCCAGACTTATAAATTTGTAGCAGAAATACCATGCACACAAAAATTATGCTGTGGTCTTCTCAGCGTCTTATATCAGGAGACATATGATGTCAACCCATCCTACCATAGATGATAACCTTGGTCAAGATAGTGTCTGCCAGCTTCTTCCACTATAAGTCACCCTTTTTATCTTTGTAAATAACAAGTATTCTCAGGGGAAACATTCTGAAACTACCTTAGTATCCTATTCTCCATTGAACCTCTATCCATTGGTACATTATTATGTGCTGTAATAATTGCCAAATGGTGACCTATATTTATTATTGTATTTATATCTATCTATTAGTTGGCATTCAACTTTAAAGAAGAGATATGTCCTTATATTTATTTACATATATTTATTTATACCTGTATAGATTCCTGTTTCTTTCAATCAATGGGTTGAATCCATTGATTTTGTGTGTGTGTGTGTGTGTGTGCGCGTGCACATGTGCAAGTGTGCAATACAGGGGATTGAACTTGAGTGAGCTCTACCACTGAATTACACCCCCAGCCCTTTTTATTTTTATAAAATAAGTTGCCCTCTCTGGCCTCAAACTTACCATCCCTTTGCCTCAGCCTCCCAGTAGCTGGGATTATAGGCATGCTCCACTGCTCTGGGCTTTTGCTATCATTTTGATGCTCCTGTGTGTCCCATATTTGATCAGTTGGCATTCCTTTGGGCTTGCTTCTGTTTCCTCTTGATATATCTCTATCATTTTCTGAGTTGTTTTTTTTTTTTTTAACTTTCAGACACTACAAAATGTTTGGGCTCATCTTGTACTTTTCCCAGATAAGCAGTGAGAACCAAGGCAGGCTAGAAAACAGGAACATTTGACTGAGGTTATGCCAAGGCCACCCTGAATTCATGCCACAGGAACTTGTTGGTGAGGATTTCCTGCTGGTACCACCACCCTCTCCTCAGGGGCTGCAGGCACAGTGAACATATCACGAACTAGGTCTCGTCTGTACTCCAAGATTCAAAGTCCAGTTGGGAACATTCCAGTTGTTTGACTTAGGCCAAGTGCTTACCCCTGGACGGTGAAGAGGTAAGAGGGAACGTCAATGTTTCCCTAATCCTTCCAGTATTGTCCTGTGGGAGACTGTAGAAATAGGAAGATGATTTTTATCCTTTGTGGCTCAAAATACCTTCCTCAAATATCTACTTCCTAGTCAGGGACATATACTTACAGGCATAAAAAAGGGGACAGTTGGCAAGGCTATGCACCAGGGGCATGCTGGTAAATGTTTAACAAAGCTCCCCAGAACAAAACAGCACTGATTTGTAATGTTCACCTATTTCCGTTGTGTGCTATTCCCAGCAATGGAGTTTCAAATGTGACATCACTGAACACAGTTGGGAAGAGATGTGCACCTCAATAGATAGCATTTTCACCGTACAGATCCTATACATGAAAATGGCCTCAAGAGATAAAAGCAAAATATACTAAAATGATCAGGAAGTGATGAGTTTTTAGTATTTATCACCTTTGCCTTAATATAATTTATTTAGTTGTAAATTTATGTCATTGAATTTTTAATTAAAGCAGTGTTAACTGACATGCACAATTCTGAAAAATTCAGCCACTGTCTCTTATAAACAAGTATATTTTGAAACATTACTGAATCAAACTCACTCAGTGATTTCCTCAGGGAATGGATTAGGAAGAGAGGAAGATATAATCTTATTTATTTATTTCTGCTTTCTAGTATTTAAAAAATAGCATTAGTTTTTAAAAAATATGTATACATATTTTCAAATATTTTTCAAATAAAACTTAATTTAAAAATTAACCCACAGAAGGGCTGGGGATGCAGCTTAGTGGTAAAACACTTGCCTATCCTGGCGAGGCCCTAGTTTCAATCCCTAATCCTGCAAAAAATAAAGATAAAATTGGGTGCAGTGGACACCTGTAATCACTCCTGTAATCCCAGCAACTTGGGAGGCTGAGGCAGGAAGATTACAAGTTTGAAGATGGCCTCAACAACTCAATGAAACCATGTCTCAAAATCAAAAATAGAAAGGATTGAGGTAAACTCAGTAGTAAAGCACTTGTCTAGCATGCACAGGCTCTGGGTTTAATTCTCAGTACCACGAAAATAGATAAATAAATCTAAAGACATTTTGGTCCTTCCTTCTCCTCTCTTGGTAGAGAGTAATGTCAGCTGGCTTCACTGTTGCAACTCCTCCAACTGCTTTAGCAAAAGGCTGTCAAGTTATGATCTCTAAAATATAATTCTGTGTCTCTCCTTTTCAAAATCTTCAGCCCAATGAGTACAAACTCAGGCAAGATTTCAACTCAACCTTCTTTCTAAATATTTTTTATTTTACCTTTTGCCTGGATCTTTTATATATATATATATATATATATATATATATATATATATAATTTTTCAGTGGATCTTTATTTTATTCATTTATTTATATGAGATGCCGAGAATTGAACCCAGTGCCTTACACATGCTAGGCAAGCACTCTACCACTGAGCCACAACCCCAGCCCTTGCTGGGGTCTTAAACCAGGAATTTTCAGTTTGCGGGCTTGGAGGGATTGTTTTGTTTCATTTTAATTTGTTTTAATTCCTCCCCCCAACACCCTATACTGGGGATTGAACCAGGGATGCTCTACCATTCGGCTATGTCCCTAGCCTTTTTTATTTTTTATTTTGAGACAGGGTCTTGCTGAGTTGCAGAGGCTGGACTCAAATTTGTGATTCTCCTGCCTCAGCCTCCTGAGTTGCTAGGATTACAGGCATGTATTACCACACCTGGCTTTTTAAAGATGGAGTCCTGATAAATTGCCCAGGTTGGCCTGGATCTCCATCTTCCTCCTTCAGTCTCGGGAGTAGCTGGGATTCTAGTGCATGCTGTTGCTGTGCCTGGTAGACCAGGGTCACAGTACCATGCTCCCTAATGGAAGGGGGCTGCCAAGGGCCTGTGGAGAGCACATGGTGTGAGCCTTCAGCTAGTGCTTCCACAAGTGGCACTGATTCAAATCAATCTCACATATTCTGGGTAAGATTTCATTTGGGGAGAAAAAATCTCTTTTGCTGAAAAACAAACATTTGAAAATAATTGTTTTAATCCAACAAAATACCTCTTAGTCAAACATTCTCAAATCTGCTTGCTTCTTTTATTTATTTCAACAGATGTTTATTGAGCACTTGCTGTGTGCCAGGCACTGGGGATAAAACTGGACAACAGACTGTCCTTCCCTGCTGAGCTTACAGCTTAAAGGAGTGATAGTTGATATATGAAGAAATTAAGAAAAAATGTTTTCTTCTTTCCCTTCACTCATCCTTTGAGGTTTATCTCAGGTGCCATGGACTTTTTAAAAACATACTTTAAAAAAATCTCTTTTCCTTCCCAGCACAGCGGTGCATGCCTGTGATCCCAGCAAGTCAGGAGGCTGAGGCAGGAGGATTGTAAGTTCAAAGCCAGCCTCAGCAACTTAGCAAGGCCCTAATCAACTCAGCAAGACACTGTCTCTAACAAAATATAAAATATAAAAAAAGGGATGGGATGGGACTTGGTGGTTAAGTTTCCCAGGGTTCAATCACTCAAACAAACAAACAAACAAAAAAGATTTATTTTTCTACTTACTAGAAGTCCATTCTTCATGTAAATTTTTATGCATAGAGGATGTTTGTTGATGTCCATCATCCTTTCCCTCACCTTTTGGTAATAGTATCTGGAACATTCTTTCGGGATTAAACTCTTCCTCTCCTTCTCTCACACTCCCAGTTTACTGGGTTCCAACTAGGAGGTGCCGAGAATTGAATCCAGGATTGCACAAGTGAATCAGGATTGGCAGACTGAAACACAGAACACTCTTAGCTACAACAATTGGCTCAGGTTCAGTCAACCCTCTGGCTACAGTGATTGGTTTGGGGTGGATAAATGATTCCAAATGGCTCACTGTGAATCCCAAATATGTGTCGGAGTCTTGTGAAACAGATGTCATCTTTTCAACTAAATTTAAGCCTGATGCAGACCCAAACTTTTTGGTAGCAATTTGGTTATCCTGTGGAGTGTAAGGCCAACATGAAGGAAGTTGGAAGAACCAAGTGATGAAGAGAGACTGCATCCTTGTGACACCCAGTGCCTGGATGGAGCCACACCTAAAGCCCCTGAACAATTAAGTTCCATAAGCCAGTAATTTTCCTTCTTTGCTAAGTAATTTTAAGTCTGACTTTCCAAAAGAATATTGAGTAATTTGCTATAGCACAGACTCCCTAAGAGCTAAAGACTGGTATGGCTCTGGTTCCAGCCCATCAGCCATGAAGGAGTCTTACCTTCTCTCAATTCTCCCCAGTAAGTCCCAAAGCCTCCAGGAGACACTTCATATGTGATCTGAAAGTTAATACTCTGCCATTTCCTTCTATGTATTTGGGCTTTCTGAGGGAAAGAAGGGAACCCTGTTTCTGCAGAAGCAGGGACTGGTAACCCTGTCTCAGCACCCAGCAAAGCTACATGGTCAATACTGAAGTCATGGAAGTCCTCACGCTCTCAAACAACATAAGTCTGGAATCAGTATGCTGAGGCTAGTAGGGCACATCCAGGGGCATAAAGGTGTTACACTTGTTCCTTCGTCTTCGTAGCTCTACTTTTGGGTTACTTGCCTTGTGCCAGGCATTATGCTGGGCATTTAACACTCGTTCTCATATATAATCCTCACAGCAACTTGCCAGAGTAGGGATAATTATAATCCCCATTGAATAGACGAGAAAACTTAACTTCAGAAAGTTCAATGATTGGACCAAGTATCCCTGGCTAGTTAGTGAAGAAACTGGAGTTCTAAGGCATATATAAGCACCCCTTTGTGAATGAATGGTGGCCCCTGGGAATGGACGGATAGCTGTGGAGGGAAGCCTAAGGGTTGAGGAAGACAAGGGATATTTGGGACTGTAGAAAGTTGAAATGGCTGCTTGGGGTGAGATTGGGCGGACCCCGCCCCGGCTTCAGCGGAGTGTGCAGTGTGCACACGGAGTGTTCAACAAGACGAACCATGTGACCACGGGATTTTCCGCGCTTAAAGGTTCGGGCTTGACAGGTGGGAGCGGATGGGGGCGGGGCTTCTTTGGGTCCTCCCATTCCCAGGTGAGGCGCCTGAGACCCGGGCCGGAAGGAGGATGCGCCCACGCGGTGCTCGTGAAGTGTAGGGTGTCCTTGTTTGTGGGGCTGTCTGGCCAGGCTCGCCTGGCACCCGTACTGGCCCGACGGGCCAAGCCTTTGGCGGGGGTGGGAGAGTAGGGTGCCGCGCCCAGCCCGGCCCAGGTGTCGTCTCCGGGGCGGGGTTTGGGAACCAGGCAGCTGGAGATTCCCGGTCTGACGGGCGCGCCGGCGTCGAGGGACAGAAGCAGACGAGAGCGGGAGAGCGCAGGGAGCACACTGGGCAGGCAAAGGCGCGGAGCTACCAGCATGTTTACCCGAAACCACCGGAGCCGGGTCACAGTGGCCAGGGGCTCCGCCCTGGAGATGGAGTTCAAACGCGGCCGCTTCCGACTTAGCCTCTTCAGCGACCAGCCTGAGGTGAGAAACAGAGTCCCTTCCTTGCCCTTCCCGGGCACCAGCACGCAGCCCTGGGCGCCTCTGCCTCCCGCCCTCGCCCTTGCATGCGGAGGGGCGGAGACGCCGCGGTCCGGGTCCAAGCTGGCGGGAACTGCTGACTTACAAAGTAAGATGCGGACCATCTGCGCAGTGGTCGGTCGGATCCATACTGCCCTACTCATTCCCTGGCCTGGTTTGGGACGATTTGCCTTTGCCTGGAAAAACTTCGATTGACCTCAATTAGAAGGACCCCAGGCTCGATTCCCAAGATGTGCCTGGCATCTCTGGGCCAAGGGCGGTGGGCAGCCAAGTGGACCCCAAACTCTCGGTCTTTTGGCTGTCGGTGTTCCCCCGATCGCCAGCCCATCCCAAACCCCGTCTCAACCCTCTGGGCCAGCTTCTGTCAACAGTCCAGGTCTACCGCTTAGCTGGAGTCCTCCCCAAACGGCTTCTATGTGGCCCTGCCAGAGAGCTTGTGGGAAGGTGTCTTTTTTAACTCTTTGGGATTATTTGCCACACCCAACTTTCCGCCTTCTTTCCTGGGGCCTAAGAGTAGATCTGCCTGTAGGTTGAGAGTGTCTACCTACCCCAGGGCCACTGGTCTAAACATTGCGGGCTTCTGCGTGCCACCTGCAATTCCCCCAAAGAACCTGGGGAGGGGCTGGAGGAGTGAGGCTGAACCAGGACTGAGAGGGCGCGCAGCCAACTCCAAGACACTTTTGTCCTCAAGGTCAACCTCACTTGCCCAAGGAGAGCCCAATTCCAAGCTGTCTTTTCCTCCCGGGCTTGGAAAGGGTTAAGTGAGGTGGGCCTTCCTCCGGGCCCCCTCTCCCTCCCGACTGGGATTCCAGGCCTGGCTTCTGCCCTTTCCCTCTAGGCTGCCCAGAACAAAGGCCCTTTCACACCGGTGTCCCGGTGTCCCAGGCCTTCTCGGAGTCAGAAGCTAGTGGAATGGGGGAGAGGGCTTTTGTCGCCCCCCCCCTCCGCCCCCGCAGCAACTCTGCTTAAGGAACCCGCGTGGAGCCGGCGTGGGGGAGTAAGGGGCGAGGCCCGGGACCAGGAGGAGGGGCCTGTGCGCCGGCAGTCCCTGGGTTCGCCCGGCCTTCGGGGGCCAGCGCCGAGCAGCCGGGGCGGAGCCACAGGGCCAGGCTGGCCGCCCAGGAGAGTGTAACTCCGTGGGCCAGGGGTGGAGGGGTGGGGACAGTACTGCAGCTGGCTGGGACTCGGGGCTGGTTTCCTGTCTGGAAGGGAAGGGGCCCGCAGAGGGGAGCGGGGGCAGCAGCAGACAGGCACACCCCAGCTTTTCTCCCTTTCTTTCCTCCCTTCTGCTGGAAAAGCGAGGTAATTGTGAGCCCAGGGTGGGGCGGGCTGGATGGGGGCCCGAGTTGGAAAGGGTGGCCCTGGGATCTGGGCCGCATTACCGACTCACCGCTTAGTCCCAGTCCCTCTGTTCATCTCCCCTCAAGTACCCACTTTGCTTGCTGTTTCTCCTAACTTTGTCAAACTAAGTCAGAAGCCCTCTGTGAGAGCTCCAACCTCCTGACAAACCCCAGGACTCTGTGGAACCTGCAGGAGGCGTCCCCTCCCTACCCCCGTTCCAGCTGTGCCTGCCCCTCATTGCCCTCTCCACACATAGATTCTCTGTCCACCAGGCCAGGGATGTGGGCGGGGGCTGGGGAGGGGCCATAATGGGAATGAAAGGGCCTTTTTCTTCCACAGCTGGGAGAACAGCTGCCACCAAAGCAAGACTGGACACTCTGTGCCCAGAGCCCACTCTGCAGCTGGCTTCCACTCCCAGGACCCTGCTAATCCTCACCTCACTTTCCTTTCCTCCCCTTCCTGGCTCCCACCAGGGTTTTGAAACAGGAGTAGGTGAGGAAAATTTGTCACTGAAGCCAGAGGGGGTCTAACAGTGCAGAAGGACAGGGGAAGCTTCTGCCCTCTGTCCAAGAGCTGGCCACCTTTCTCAAGACCAGGGAGCAGTGGGAGGACTGGGGGACTGGTGCCTACCTGCCCCACCCCCCACCGAGGGGCTGACAAGGGAAAGGCTCAGGGGGGCACAGAGATGCAGGACAGATTGCACATCCTGGAGGACCTCAATATGCTCTACATTCGGCAGATGGCACTCAGCCTGGAGGTAATGCCCCTACTCCTGAAGAACATATTTTCTCTGCTTGCATCCCAGACCCTCTCTGCCTTGCTCATTCCTGCTGGGGCTGAGTGGGGGAGGGCATGGCCTGCTTTTTAAGTGGGGAGAGGAACAGGTGATTCTTTTTGCCCTTTGTTGGGTGCAGTGTGTGGGCCCAGACCGACTTCTGCTGACAGAACATCCTGTTGACAGTGGGGGTCTTCACACCTATTTTTGGAAGCTCTGTGGATTGGTGTAGGTGGCTGTTATGGGGGGCAAGGCCTCCTTTCATGTATGGAATGGAGAGAGTTCAACTGAGAGCGGTTTGCAGAAAAGATGTAGCTCAGTAGAGAAGAAAATAGAGATACTGGGCCAGGATGAAGATTCTGCTGGCCCTGGAGATGGTAGGGAGTTATTTATTCATTCTTTTAATATTTTATGTTTTAGTTGTAGATGGATACAATATCTTTATTTTATTTTTATGTGGTGCTGAGAATCGAACCCAGGGCCCCGCATGTGCTAGGCGAGCGCTCCATCGCTGAGCCACAACCCCAGCCCTATTTATTCATTCTTAAACACATTTATTAAACATATACAGTGTGTCAAGCTCCTTTCTAGACCAAGGACAAACAAGACAGGAAAGGTCCATTCTAGTGGAAGAACAGATAATAATCATGCAAACACACAGATAATATCATAGTGACAATATGCTGAAGACAAGAGAGCGAAATCAAAATCAGATGGGGGAGGTAGCATTAAGTGTGGAGGTGTGGGAGGATTTGAAGAGGTGAAGATTGGAGGAAGGTTTTTCCAAAGGGTATAGCAAGGGCAAAGGCTCTTAGACAAGGATGAGGGTAATAAGTTTGTAGGAAAGAAAGCAATTCAGTGTACCTGGAATATAGTAGTTGAAGTGAAGCTAATGGGAAAGAGCTAGATCATGCAAGACTTGAGGGCTATGACAAGGCACTTAGATTGTACTCTAGGTATGATGTTGGTCTATGGAAGGATTTAAAGCAGAGGAAGGACTCATCTCACCACCCCCCATACTGGGAAGTGAACCCAGGAGTGCTCTA